GTCCTTTCCGGCCTTCGGTTCTATGATAATACTGAGGTGGTAGGGAGGGACCGCCCTTTTTATTCTAATTGTGGATGATGTGTTTCCTGTTTTCAGGTGTGAGGATACCACCTCTCAGTGGCTGCCCTGGACAATTCCTGGAAAATAAGTTACCAGGTACCTAACTTAGGTTTTTTTTTTTTTTAAGCCCTTATCACTCTTTTGGTCTTGTGTCGTAGTAGTGTAAGCTTGCTCTAGGCTTACGAGTACTTATTGAAGAGCTGTAGGTGTCCAACCCATGATTGTGTTTCTTCAGAACCAGTAAATATACCTCAGGCTACACACATATGACTCAGTTGTGGTATATGTGGCCTGTGGTGTATTTCCTGATTCTAGAATATGGTTCTTAATTTTTGGTCTTTAGGGATCCTTGTCCTGTTGTGTTTTACTGAATGAATAGACATGTAGACTGCGACTAAATATGTACATTGTGTACTTTGATGTAAAAGATGTCTTGTGCTGTTTGTAAGATATTCTTTTTTGTTTAATCTGGTTTGCAGATAAAAATATACAGCAGCGAAGAATACTACAGAGATGGGAAGCAAGACCTGTACATACATGCTGCGAACAATACGACAACTACAGCCATGCAATTCCTTTGCCGGAATGAGTTTTCCTAAATTTCCAAAGAATTATAGATTAGAATCAACACTTCCTCTGCTTTCATATACTTGCACTTTGAAATCCACATTCAGTTCAGCCACTGTGCCGATCAGGTGTTTTAGTCATGAGACTTTACCATGTAGGGAAGCAAATAATATGACATCTGATTGTGCAGATGAACCAAAAAGTGATCCTCCTGCCAGCATGTATATTAACCATGCTAGCCCTTTAAATGAGCACATTAGCTTGAAATCAGATAAACTAAATAGTAGCCATAAAGAGTTAAAATCTTCTACCATGATTGCGCTGAATAAATGTACTACTCCCAGGGAAGTATTGAATGTCTTTCCAGGTCCCTTACACAGGAAAGATGAACTCTTCGAAGGTGTTCAAAAACTCTGGCATACATTCTTGGTACTTAACCAGAAGCGGAAACCCATTGAAAGAGACTTCATAGTCGATCATCCACACTTCCGCCATCTGACGCATGGAATCTGGAAGATGGCTCCAGTCTTTTCGCCAGGGGCTTTGGTCCGCACACTTGAAGTATTTGTGCATTTAAAACTAAATCAAAAATCAAAACTAATTCAAAGTCTTCTGCTACTTTGCCAGGTAACATGATCTACAATGTTTTTGGGGGGATTGGCGTTGGTCACTGTTTACTTTGCTTTTAGTCATTTTGCCTTTTCTGTATTACACAATCCCTTAGAATTTACTTGCTTTTTGACCTGTATATACTTGTTTCACTTTTACACACACACTGACACAATCTCTCTCTCTCCTCTCTCCTCTCTCTCTCTTCTCTCTCTCTCTCTCATGAATTTTCTTAGCAATTGTGTAATAGAGAGTAAGGAGGGGATGACAGTGTAGTAAATAGTGACTGGGTCTCTTTAACGTATGAAATTTGTATCACATATTCATGCAGGGGATTGGGTATGATTGGTAATGGACTATATGGAGTGGGTGTTGTGTAGGGATATATTTTTTAGGGCTGCAACAACTAATCGACATAATCGATTATAATCGATTATTGAAAAAGTTGTCAACTTTTTCAATAATCGATTAATCGGCTTCCGATTGGTTGGCCCT